AGAGGGGAAGCCGTGCGTTGTTGTTACTGTTAGGTGCTGCAGTCGGAGTCGTGAATTCCTCTTGAGAAAAAGCAGGAGGAAAATATAATTCATGTTTGGCCGAGTTTTGTATTAGCCTACACCTTTGTAAGAGCCTGCTCCCAAGAAAGCGTCTGCCTGGGCAGAGCCCTCTACCCCAAAACCCAATGGTCAGTTAATGGTACAAAAGGCGTAACGCCCAACAGCGCTGGCATTCCAAATGTATCAGTTTATGGACAAATTATTTAAAATAAAGTACAGAGTCAGAAAGAGCTAACGCAATTGAATTGCTAATAGATATGCAATCCTGAAAAATTGTTTTCTTTTGGCCATTCACGTGTTATAATCATATCAACCATGCAGCTTCAGGTTTACAGGGATGACCAGAGATTAACAAAGGAGTTTGTGGAAGGAAGTGAACAGGGGGAAAGAAGGCAAAGGTATACACAGCAGAGGGAGCGGCAGGACAAACAGAAGGACTCGGTTGACATAAAGAAACAATGGGCACGTTAATGACAACAGTGGGTGTATAAGGTTAAAAAAAGAAAGAATTTATTAGCTGAACACCAACAATGCGGTTCGTGACGTGTGGAACGGGAGGTAGGCGGCAGGCCTGCCTCACGCTGCAGCGCACGGGGTGCAGCTGTTGGAGAGGAAGCTCAGACAACCGAGGAGAGCGCATTTGATCCGTGGGAGCACGATTCTTTAGTCTGACATGAGGCAAAAAGTCACGATTGCCTTAGCTAAATCAAACGGTTAGATTAACGAGGGATGTTGTAAGGAGTAGTGACAAGCACGTTGACAGAGCTATTTTGGTACAGATACAAAACAACTTTTTTCAGTGTAAAATACCTGTTACATACATTTAGGTTTTTAAATTGTGAAGCCTGTACATTCCAGCTCACAGCTTTCGTAATGAAGAGGGGCTTTCCCATACAGTTCTGCACTTTAGATACAGCCCATTTTCAACAGTCAGTCGCATTTAACCTAAAGAACATTTCTACTCATAACCACCCCTGTGCTCCACCCAGGCAACTTTTAGAACTTACATGTTTTAGGGACAAAGTTGAAAAAGCTAAAACAGAAGGACAAATTTGCATCATTAGCTTAACTGCAGTTCAAATTAGTTATTCTCCTGAGCATATTATTGTATGTCCACGAACAGAACAGTTGTGATTTTGATATCTGACAGTAAAATAAATATTTTAAGATAAATTGATAGCATATTAAGGAAAATTAAAGCATTTAAATCTACAGCTCTAACATTCAGCTAATACTTTTATATCCGGTTTTTAGGATTCTGTGTCATTGGTTTGAACATCAATGGAGTTATTTATTCAGTAAAAGTTATTACTGGATGTGGCCCCAAAATTGGATTCATGCTCGAAACTCCTCAGAACTGTTTAGAACTCCAAGCCCCTAGTCTGTATTACAGAAGAGCATTTAAGAATAAGGTGTTAATAGAGCTTCAGGTACGTATTAAAAAAAAAAAAAAAAAACCCAAAACCTACAAGAAGGATTTTACCTAAAAATCGATTAAGCCTTTCAAAATTAGTTTTTTCTGTGTAAGTGACCACACCTGTTCATGTAACACCTCAAGAGAGACTGTGTTCTGTGAAAAACAAGACCTTTTGGCTTTGAATATAAGAAGTTCAATGCTACATAGTCTCAACAGAATAAATATTGAATCTGTTCACACCGGAAAATCAGTCTGAGTACGTGGATCAGGATGAATCCTTTTATTGACTTGGGCACTGTCAGGTACAAACCCGAGAAAGCTGACAGTTTGCAGTCAGTCTTACAAGGATCTCTTGCTGGCCAACGCCAGCTGGGACAGACCTCTGAAGTCAAAGGTAAGAATTTCACCCCATATTACCAGCAAACTAGATCCTCAAGCAAATACCTTGTTCAAAGCAGCACTTCTATCAAATTCTTAATCTATTTCCAGTTATTTGTATAGCCCTGGAGTGCAACCGGCGGCTCATCCTAACAGAGAAAACACCTTATAACATCTCTCCTACCTACAGGATCCACACAAGTAAAATGGGATAAAATTCCTTTTACTCTGCAGAAGATTGTCTTTCTAAATTACAGCAGTTACGTAATACACTATCAGACCCATTGTCATTTAGAAACAGGAAACAGATTAGCATTAAGAAGTGGTTTGTCCAAAATCATTTAATAAATCAGCAAGAGATAACTAGAAACAACATCCTGATGTCTTGAATACACATCCAGACAATGCAGCATTTTTCCCCTCTTATCAGCTAGCTACCTGATCACCTGCTTTTTGTTTTCGGTATAAAAATCTAACTCTAGCAGCAATAGAGCTCTCAATTTTAGCAAAACAGGAATTTTTAAGTATTTTCAGCAAGAAATGGAAATGCAGCTGGTATTATGTTTTTTTTTTTGGTTGTTATTTGTGTTTCTTAAAACAGATTGTGAATAAAAATGACTTCTGTTTCAGGATATTACTGACCTGGACTTGATGGCTTGTCACCTGACAAATTAAAAGTTCCTTTCCATCCTTCCTGGGATAACAGACACGGGCCAGAATTTTCTGTGAAGCTTCCCACAAAACCCCACAACAATCTATCTGTCTGTAAGTACAAGAGGAAAACATTTTTACTTTCTTTTTTTCCCTCCCTGACTTTTCTCCACAGAAGAAATTCCTTAACATTATGCTGTCTTCCCTCCCTGCATGGGTACTGAGTTAGTCCTGCAATGAGTGCAGACAGCAGCTGCCTTCATTTTAGCCTCAGAGCTCCCTGGAAACACAAGCTTTCTCGCTGTTTTGGTAGCATGAGAGTGTGACTGCTACTGTGAATAGCTGAGATATTGTTAGGGTGGAAAGATGTGAAGACTGTTTGGTTGTTGCACCAAGGCTTAGGTGCTACAGGCTCGGAAAGCCTGTCTCTCCCCAGCTGGCAGCTGTACCCTTAGCCACCGCTTCAGAGACTTGTTTTGCTTCCCCCTTCTCTCCCACGTTTAAATTTTAATACCTACACCTTGCTGCCAACAAGGAAGACAACATACAAGTTATTCTGCAGAGAGTTCAAGGGTTCAATAGCACTTGTGTAGGTAACTAAAGCTCCACTCTACCTACCAAAAGGGTAAGTTTCAAACTTGCATCAGGAAAGAGCTTCAGTTTGGGAACATTACAGTCTACAGTACAAACTGTTGACTACATGCTTTTAATTTGACATTGCCTTATGTTTTATAATTGCACAAGGCAAACAAATCCTCTTCCCTCTTTTGATAAAAAAATGGATGCATCTGAAAGCCAACCAAGAGTATTCACTGACACAATACAGAATCCCATAAAGAGAAGACATTTGACTTTAGCTGCCAATGTTTTGAACAGATGTTACTTTTATGAATGAAACCTGTATGCTCTATACCATCTAAAACCATTATCATCTAAAAATACTATGTTATCTGTATTGCAAAAACAGGAGGTTGCACATCCATACATATAATCACTTTGAAGATTCAGGCTAAAGCATGACTAAAACATTCCAATACTAAAGTTGTAATTTTGCTCAATATTCAAATTCTGAAACAGTCAATTTAAATTTAAGTAGCTAAATGAAACTGTTGAGAAGTTAGTGGGGAAACAACAGTAGGCAACATGGTTCTGACAGCTGGCTGCTATTTCTGTGAAGAGGTGACACAGCAGGTACATCAGGTGGCAAAAGATGGCAAGGAAGTCCACGTGAACCAAAGAAACTGGTAAGTCCAATTCTGAGGTTGAACACAAGAGCTTTTAAGTATTAAGTAGAAGGGTCAGTATTCTCTCGTCACTGCACACAGTCTGGAGGGGAGAGAGGATTGAAAGCAGCAAAATCAGAGGCAAAGTGCACCCAAGATGGAAACTTGGCAGGGGACTTAAAAGGGGAAAAAAAAAAGGATAGCCTGCAGAAGGTTTCAAATAGCCTCAAGAATGTGTGTGAACCTGATAAAATTAATGAAGATATTAAGTTGCCTAATCCAGCTGATGTCTCATTAAAAGAAAATGGGCAAAGAGATGACTATATTAAAACCTAGCACTACTGTAACAAAAGGATCAAAGATGCATGTAAAAGGTGGCTGGAACTCCTAAACCTCTGACCAACCAGTCTATGCCTTGACATAATGGGAGACATTATGCTGACAGACATATTTAGAAGAATCATACATGCTGGGTCAAACTAAAGATCTCTGAAGCTCTGTATGTTGACAGCAGTCAGTAGACAATGCTTCCATATCTTCACGGATAAATTTTAAGTACCTAAACATTTTGGCTCTGCAACCCTTGTGCAGGCAAAAATCCTTGGACAAAAGTAGCCTGAGTTTTCTTTCAAGCTGCCACAACTCCTAATGAAGCAAGTGACAGCTGGGATTAGTGTGCACTTCATCTAACCTCAAGATTCAGGCAACTTTTTTCTCTGAAAATTAACCTGCTCTCATCAGACTACAATCACAACACTTTGTATTGTTTACATTACATTCACACATTGCTTTACAGCTCACAGCACCCTAAAAAAAAAAGGATAGCCTGCAGAAGGTTTCAAATAGCCTCAAGAATGTGTGTGAACCTGATAAAATTAATGAAGATATTAAGTTGCCTAATCCAGCTGATGTCTCATTAAAAGAAAATGGGCAAAGAGATGACTATATTAAAACCTAGCACTACTGTAACAAAAGGATCAAAGATGCATGTAAAAGGTGGCTGGAACTCCTAAACCTCTGACCAACCAGTCTATGCCTTGACATAATGGGAGACATTATGCTGACAGACATATTTAGAAGAATCATACATGCTGGGTCAAACTAAAGATCTCTGAAGCTCTGTATGTTGACAGCAGTCAGTAGACAATGCTTCCATATCTTCACGGATAAATTTTAAGTACCTAAACATTTTGGCTCTGCAACCCTTGTGCAGGCAAAAATCCTTGGACAAAAGTAGCCTGAGTTTTCTTTCAAGCTGCCACAACTCCTAATGAAGCAAGTGACAGCTGGGATTAGTGTGCACTTCATCTAACCTCAAGATTCAGGCAACTTTTTTCTCTGAAAATTAACCTGCTCTCATCAGACTACAATCACAACACTTTGTATTGTTTACATTACATTCACACATTGCTTTACAGCTCACAGCACCCTCTTGAAAAAATAGGCAAACAGTTCACACTTATGTACTTAAACTTTATTTCTTCATAATTACAGGCTATTGTTAGAATTTTTAAACAAAAGGGAAGTCTATAAATAGAGGCTAATCCCACCTGAACAAGATTTTTTTTTTTTTTAAAAAAAAAAAACAGTTAAAACTTCATAAAGTAATGCCATTTAGCTCACAGCAGTGGTTTGTTGGTAGTCCGAGTAAAAGTACTATAGTCAGAGTCAGTAACATGAAATGTAACATCAAATGACTCAAAACTTCAAATTCCATAAAGGAAAGCAGGAATATATATATAATATATACATATAATATCGTGTTGGTCCACTGAGTATACATTTTTAACAAAAGATAAGAAACTATGTAATCCAGTTAAGTATATGATTTGCAAGATTAGTGTACACTCATTACAAAGATGTATAGATATGACTATTTAATACTTGCAAAATTTTAAGTTACTTTTTTTGAGCAGGTGTTTATATGCTCATTTCCCAGTGCAAAAGAAAACCTATCCCAGTCAGGTTACCCATTTTTCCTGAAAAATTGAAAACTTCCCTCAAAAATTGTGCAACAGCAGCATTGATTGGTAATGGGAAGAGCTTAAATATACTGAAGCATGGCTGAGTTCTCCCCTTTTCTCCCCCAGTGCTGTGTGCTGAAACTTCAATTTCCTCAACAGAAATACCACAGGTTAAAAGTGCAAGGAAAAAAATCTCTTGATGTTTATGCTGCTGCCATCCATTTTTCTTAGAATAGGGCAAAAGATTATTTTTTCTGGATTTATTTTCATGAAACTGATTCTCCAGAATAGAGTTGTTTCAAAATGAACAATAAGTTACTTTCATTAAGTTATTTTCATTAACATTCTATCAATCCTACTCTGACTCAGTGACCATAAAGAAATAATTCAGTTTAAGGTGCAACTATCAGTTGGCGTTCAATAAATTACATACACAGAAAACAACTACGGTTAAGAAAAAAAAAATCAGACTACCTGTTTTTTCTTTCTATTCCCAATCCTATTTCAAATTGAACTTACTAAGTTGCCAGTTCAACTGCATATTTCACAGGCCGAAGTGGCTCAAATAGCAGTGGGGTTTCAAATTTGACAGTCATTGTGGCCAACAGCAAATGCACATGAATCTTCAACTTAATTGCTTTATAAAACAAAATAACAGGTCTGACTTAAAACCTATGACCATGCAAGAAAAGTATTAAAAGATTTCAGAAAGACACAAATCTTTCTTAGACTCCATGAAGACTGTTTTTTCAAATCCAAACGCAGAATCTTCAATGAATAGAAAAATCTATATGCATACACATAAAATAAAGCACTCCACAACTCTGGCGTTACTAAAATCTCTTTAGAAGGATAAAAGGTTTCAAATGACTAACTGCTTGATGGGAGACAGTCAGCCATGACAGAATAATTGCTATGTTCACTTTATGCTCAATTACCAACTGCTGACAGATTGCAGTCAAACTACAATCTCACTATCTGCATTTTAAACTGATTTGCTTACAGCTGGGAAAAGTAATTTGTTCTCCTGAAAACTTGAGATAAATTGAATGCTAAACTTAACAGTTATTCAAACAATAACCAAAAGGATTGAATTTAGCAGAAACATTCACACCACTTTCAGAAATTTAAAACCTTTCGTAGTTTCTTGTATATATGCATTTTCTGATTAACATTTAAATAGGTTACGCATTCAGTAAAAGGGACAAAACAGTTGACATAAGACAATCTTATTATAGACTTCATGCTTCTGATATTTCAGATTTACTAAGTGCAATAGCCAGTTCCAAGTCTTCTTGCTCTTGCTGTTTTAGCCTTGCCAATCTTTCTTTCTCTTCTCTTTCACTTTCCCTCTTAGCCCATTCAATCATGTCTTCCTCAGTAGAATACTGCATTTGTAAAAGACAAAATAAACCAGATTAATAATACAATGATAACTAATACTGTCCAAGTCCTTGGTTTAAGGGACAATTACAGTTTTACGAAATATTGCATATATTCTAGTCTTTAAATATTACTTGCTTTTTAATTTTATATGCTATTAAGATTAGCTTAGTCTAAGGTTTAACTCTTAAGAACTGCATTGAAGCCATCCAACTGATGTATTTTTATGAAATATGCCATGTTTCAAAATTCAGTATCACGCTTCAAAAAAGTTACGGAGCACAAATTACTCTAATTTAAATTCAGACTACTTTGGATACATACCCGTCTCTAAGAAAAATTTTGAATAAGTCATGTGAACATTTACAAAACCCATCCCTAGCCACACTGTGGGACATCCTGATTTACCCTACTTTCATTAGGGATGTTTTTTACAGGTGACACTGACTGCAAAAATTAGCTGTAGAATGACTGTTTTTAATTGTGCAGATGAAAGATACTTCTGCCAAGAAGGAGCAAAATAAGGTAACTGTACAGTTAGAAGCCTAGTAGTAATACAGGGAAAAGTCAGTGTGATACAAGAGAAAGAAGAAAAAGAAACTGAACAGATTTTTTCCATGTACATTGATGTGAACAGAATGTGAACTAAATTTCTGTGGTACAATGATTATAAGTCAGAGACAGTTAAGGGTATTATCTTAAAATACAAAAGATTATGCTAAAGTTTGTTTCTAGTCAGCATGCAGAAAAGCTAAGAGGTAGGTGAAGCCCATGTCTTCATGAATGTCCCGATGTTAAGTCTCAAAGTGTTATCATACTCCAGCTAGTTTCTGCTTTGAGATGCTTCTTTGGGAAATAAATGTAGAAAAGCCTGAGTTTTTTCCATAGTTCACTTAGTATTTTCAGTAATTGCAGCTGGAAAAGAATACTTTTTCCTTCATAAAATTAATGAACATTTTTGCTTTTCCCTCCGCATTTTACACTCTCTCCTCCAAACTGGCTTCTTGGTCCCTCTAACTAATACCAGTGATCAATAGCAGGAATTCAGAAATTATCATGCTACAAGACACATCAAACAGGTGCAAGTCAATTTTGAGAGCCTGTCAATCCTCAGTTTACTTCAATCTAGCACATAGTTTATTAGGCCTGAAAATAAAAAAGCAGTATGATCAAGATACTGTAAATGCGAATTGCATTTAACAGGTATCAAGCTTGAAAGTGAGATGATGCCTTTCAAAACTCCCATTTGCAAAAGCTCAAAAGAAAATATATATAGGCATGCACAAACCTTTAGATTTGCTTCTACTGCTTGGACACCACGACTTCTATGAAATGGATTCTGGTTATAAAGAGACACTTACTAACTTTTACTTCATTGTACATAAGTCTGGAATTTACTAGGCATTCAAAATCCACCAAATTATATTTCATTAACATACATCGTTATGAGGCTGTTAATCAGTATTTCAGTACATTGAAATTATGACCAAACAGTTTAGTGACAGCTAAATTAAAATCACACCTTTTGCTTTACTTTTAATTGGATAGTTAATGGTGTGCCTGTTATAGATACATAATTTAAATCTGCTGCATGCTCTGATAAAATGGATAATCCCTAGAACATAGATATCTAAAAAGTCCTATTTTCTAAAAGCTAGGAGGCCTCCATGAAAAAACTCATAAAAGCAATGCAATTTAAATGTTAACTACAACATTTTGCAGTATTTCGTTTCAGGAAAGCCTCAGCTGTAAACTAAATGTAAATACTGTTTTAACTGGAAATTATATCCCTTTTGTACATGGGATATGTTTTAATATTTTACATGAGACTAAAGACTTCAGTGTGAACAATTCAAAGCTGTCATACTGAAACAAATGTAAAAAGTGTTTACTCACAGTACTGAAGTTTGCAAAATTGTTGGGGTCAGCCTCTTTACTGATGCTGGTGGGAGCAAATGGATCACAGAATAGATCTGCTTCTTGTTCTTTGGGAATGTCTGGGGTGGGGAAAGGCTGAAATGGATCGCTCGGTTTAAAGGAATCTGAAGAGTCTATTTGATTGATAGGTCTTTTCCCTTAGATTAAAATGAATTTAAAATGAATTTAGGATAGCAGGTAATAACATGCCAAAAAAAAAACCACCACCCCACAAATTCAAAAGCTGCTTGGAATGCAACCTCTTCTAGTAAACTAGTGGAGTTGTAGTGATTTCAGAGGAAGGGTTGCCAATTTTAAAAAAAAAAATGAGGGTATGGTCCATAGTTTCTTAAAGGGTAATGAGGTAAAAAGGAACACATGTATGTTAATGATTCAAGAACAGAGTTATGTACTAATTAACTATTTTGGGAAGAGAATTTCTAACAGTTGTGAGCCCCTAATTCTATCAGCACAGTATTTTTTTTTTCTTCTGCTTATCAACTGTCCGTGGTCATTCCAGCAACGCTCTTTTATTATTTGCTTGGATCAAGCTAACACAATTTCATTCAGAGACCAGAAACATATTTTTAAGTCTTCAAAACACTCTCACTATGCTAACACCTAGAATTTATGTAGTTTTTAAACTATCAGAATGAAGGAGTATGATAACAAGCAATCACAGGCTTAACTACTTTGTTAATCCTTGCCTAAGTAGCTGCAGATACAACAGAATCGGGTACAAGCCCCCACTTATCTTGTTCTTTTTTCAGCTTAACCCCAGTCAGCTTTCAACACCTTTGAGGACATTAACCCAAGTACTTCCAAGAATAGTTGAGCTGAATTTCATCCCACCGTTCTCTCCATATGTTACTGCTTACAGGAAAGGTTTCATTGCAGTTTCTTGAATTCAACTAGCGGGTTCTGCAAGTGGTTCAACACTTACAATGGCCATATTTTAAAACTTGCTTCTGTTGCCATTTTAAACTGCAGAATTGAACCAAAGTGCTATTATTTTGCATATCACTTTTGCAAGTTAGTCTAAAATTCTTTCATAGACCAAGAGAGATTCTGATTTGGCAATGATTTAGAGAATACCCCCTCAGGAATATATGATTTATTGAGACACTTTGCAGATAACCTTGCCATGATAGCACTCACTCACTGATGATGTTCTATTACTGCCAAACGTGCATCTCTATTTCTTGAATAATGTGGGAGAAACAGAATCATAGAATCATTTAGGCTGGAAAAAACCTTTAAGATCAGAGTCCAACCATTAACCTAGCACTGCCAAGTCCACCACTAAACCATGTCCATAAGCACCACATCTACCCATCTTTGAAACACCTCCAGGGATTGGGACTCAACCACTTCCCTGGGCAGCCTGTTCCAATGCTTGATGACCCTTTCAGGGAAGAAATTTTTCCTTGTATCCAATCTAAACCTGTTCTGGCACAACTTGAGGCCATTTCCTCTTGTCCTATCACTTGTTACTTGGGATAAGAAACTGACCCCCACCTGGCTACAATCTCCTTTTAGGTAGTTGTAGAGAGCATGAAGGTGTCCCCCCTGAGCTTCCTTTTCTCCAGGCTAAACAATCCCAGTTCCCTCAGCTGCTCCCTCATAGGACTTGTGCTCTAGACCCTGCACCAGCTTTGTTGCCCTTCTCTGGAATAGGTTCAAATGACATCTAGGGAATTTTATTTCTATATGGGAAGGATTAATAAGAATATGAAATATACAATCTCCAAATCTGCCCCCAAAAATCATTAAATGAGGGTGTTTATCAGTATCTAGAAAGGCAGTGGATTTCAGAGGCAAGCAAACAGCCCTTCTGCACGCTTTCCAGTAACATGATGAGTTAAGAGAAAAATTTTGGGGTATTTGCTTGAAAAAGCATTGCTTTGTTTTGAATCAGACCAAGGGAGTAATTAAAAACAAATACACCTAAGTATCTACAGTTTTTATTTCCATTAGGAAAACAATTTATTGGGAACGATTATCAAGATAACTGCCGTATCATTTTTAATAGTGCAGATCAAAATAGGCTACTTTTTCTAGTCACCTAATTGATATGGAGGCTGCTCTTTCACCACTAGCAGCTTGCATTCTAAAAGCAGATCTGTACACCACATCATAGCCACTCCCATACAATGAAGTCAGAAATCCTTTTTTGTTTTAAATAAGAACCACCACAAGAGAAAATTATCAAACATTAAAATTATCATCACTTGTCATGTCCACTGTTTTCACGTTATTTACAATGAAACTGATTACTTGCAAGGCATGAGCATAAACCAGATCTCAAATCAACATTAAAATTAAACACTTGAGTTTAAACTTTAGTATTAATAATCCTACATTTACTGTGTTCCCTTTCTTTTGAGGAAAAAGATGAATACATGTTTAAGTTTCATGCTACACAGTTTACCAAAACACCTTAAGATTCATCTGTATAGTGTAATAGTGAAAAAATTATGCAGTAGTTTTTAAAGAAAATGAAACAAATGACAGAAACTTAAAAAGGAATACTAGTAATATATTTTCCAATCTATGGAAAAAAAATTGAGTGTGAGGAGTCTGTTGTAACATGGGCTTCTTGCAACCATACGAAGGTGTTATCTTTGATAATCATGACCTTTTCTGGAAAGCAGGGTGGTTTGTATTATGGGGCAGACCAGAGGACTTGGCTATCACTGAACAGAAAAGAGCACAGGAAACTTGGGTTTATTACATTGGCTAAGTTTACTACTACAGACCCATGGCAAGGCCACCTGGAAAAAGTTAATTTGAATATGTGAGAGTCATTTAACCCTATTTAATTCATTTTGCATTAACACCAGAGGTTTTGCAATGGATAAAACACACTGAATTCTCACTTTAAGCAAAATTTAATGCAAGATTCACAATGTATCACATTAGTAACCACTTAAATTTGCAGCCATGCTGTGTTCTTGCAGATACTTGTAATAATTCTACTTTTTCCGGTTTTCTAAATACTTTCTCTCTTCAAAAAACAATGATCCCAAATACCATGCAAAATTTAATCCTGAGGAAGCCACCAATGGATCAGGAACAGACTTGTTTCACATCTTGCTCAGTCATTCTAAATTCAGACACTTCACCATCCCTCATAATTATTGTCCCACAGCCAATACTGAAGCAGCTAATTACTAATATCTCAGTATCAGCTCTTACCAGGTGGTGGTGGACAGGGCCTCGTGGGGGTTCCTGTTTTAGGGGGCAACGCAGGAGGAACATCCTCATTTTTAGCTGGTGGTTCCTCGAATAAGTTTTTAGTTATGATCACATTGTTGACAGAACCTGATGTGGAAGCACTAAAGGGATCCTCATTGTTGGCCTTCAACAAAGAAAACAGCAACACACACATATTCAGTGCAATTCTACTACTACTACTATACCTTCTTTTCAATACTTAGAACTGGAAGTTTGGACTAAGACAAAAAGAAAATACTTCTTTTTGTTTTTAAACACATCATTCACATGGAGATTGAAAATAAAAAAAATAACCAGGAATGGTTAGTGTGTACAGCAATATAAAGTTGAGTGTAGCTACACATGCAAAAGTAATACACTTGCTGTTAAACTCAGCAAATTAAAAAAAAATTATATCATCACTTCAAATATACAGAAAATACTTATAAAGCCACAAAGATTACACTGCATTCTTCACAATGGAATTGCAGGACAATTTATGATAAAGACCTCTTTTTCAAGAAAGTCAGCCATTATAAATTTTTAGTAGTGGCAAAACTGTAATGAAACTGTTGTAGAGAGAGTAAGCTACATCTTGTCACTGCAGAGTTTCATGCATTTTCTATGAGTGACAGTAGCTTCATATTACCTTTGACAGCGTGCTAAAGTCAGCAAAGCCACTTTCAAAGGATTCATTTCCAAACAGAGAGGCAAAGGGGTCTGCAGCTGAATAGACACAAATCAAGCAAACAGAATGAGATTAAAAGTTAAATATGAAAGAGACTGAGAAAAAATCCCACAACAAAAAAGCAACTGTTCCATATTTTGCAGAGAGGCTAATTCAAGTGAAGTATTTTATGAGGTGGGCACTTAAAGTTATTAAGTAGCTTGTCAACTTTCGATTAAGAATAATAATTCTGAACAAGGAATAATTCAAGAGAAATACCGGTATTCTGCTTTCCTACATTAAAAAAAAAAAAAGTTAAAATCCACTGAAAGTATCAAATAACCATACTACTGGATGTTCTACTGAGATACACATACACACAGAGGGGTTTTTTTTGTGTGCCTACACCCATAAATATATATACTTATATATAAATAGGTTTTTAATATATATATACACATCTATATATATATAAGAACATGAACAAGAGCTCACTTCTGACTGTAGGCCCACTTGTAGAATAAAATATCTAAACCTCATATTATCTCAACCTAATTCAACGGTACCCTTTCATTCTCGTATGCCTCAAAATATATAAACACTCCTATTGTACTATAAAGCAAGAAGGGCACTGTCATTACCAATATTCACTTCTGCGTCTCCAGAAAATGGCATTTTTTCCCCAACAATTAAACTGAACAGGTTTACAATACTAAATCACCCGTGGATTCATGTTTTGGATTGCCACTTGTCAGTGCAACGTGGGAAAATAACAGATTAGAGTCTTCCCTAAAACACCTTTAACCCTCAGATGAGGGAGAGTCAGAGAAAAACAAAAAGGAGCAAACTTTTAACAGTAAAAATTCTTCATGAAGTGGTTATTCTACCCCACATCTCCTCTCGTAATACAAAGCTATCTTGTATGTTACTTAGAAAGTAACATGAAATATCTAAAAACAACCCTAATGGGTAGCAGTACAAACTATAATTTGCACAAATAGTCCAAACACTTAGATCAAGATATTTCACCAGTTTTAGGTAAGGCAGAGGAACATTTTTGCAGAATCAGTCCTCAGTGATACGCACTAAAGATAATGAGACAGTTTTGTTTTATAAAAATACAACCCTGCAAACTTGCACTTTATGTCACACTTTATAGGAAAATTCAGAAAATGTAGGAAACCCCTAAAATGCTCCACCACAAATTCAGTGGAAAGACTGGAAAGAAAAATAAGCAAAACCAAATAAAAATAAACCCCAAGTAGTCTGATGTTTATAGTCTACTTTTACCTAGATCATTTGATGCAGTAACAGTTGTTCCACCAGGAGCAAAAGGGTCATTCTTCTTCGATATGTCTGTCTAAAATAAAACAATTCCTTTGGAGGGAAATTTGTTTTTCAGCTTAAGAGATTACTCATTCTAAGAATACAATCACTATTTGAGTTTAGAAGTTTTAAGATAAAGTATTTTGGATGTAGCTTTAATCAGCATTAGTAAAGAGGCCTGTTAACAGAAACTCCTCAGAACAATGATTCATACTTTCAAAGGATGGAAAAAAGGCACACTGTGCAACATACTTGGTAACCACTAATACAAAGTTTAAGGATATCTAACACTCATTTTGCTCTCAGATGTCTACAATCAGGAAAATATAACTACAAGATATCAACACCACAAAGGTTCGGTAAAGCATTTAGGATGAATGCATAACTTCAGTTCAGAAATACAGATCTCAAGAATCATACGCTAATCTCACACCACAGCTCTGACCCCTTTTAAATTTTTTTCTCTTCTGTACTTCTCTCATTATCAGACAGTAATATGACCAAGAATTAGTTATATTAGAATATTAAGACTTGGCAAAGGACAGTGTGCTGATTAAGTATTGAAGACCATAGAAAACTAATTTTTTAAGGTTGGAGGTGTAGGCTGTGGCGCATAATAAGACCTTGAGATCTGCATAATGTGCACACCATGTGGAAGGACTAGAACACCATTGTTAGGTGCAGTGATTTCTCGCTATCTTGGCTGTTGTGGGTTCACCTCAGGCACACTCTATAGCCACCTGACTTCCTAATCCACATGTATCTTTAATTTTTATATATGTATACATGTATTTTGTACGCAAACAATTAGAAGCAAGGCATGAACAGAAGCAGCACTGATAAGGAAAGGACACAGGCAAAAAGATGGAGACAAAGTTATAACATGAAGAATTTCATCTTCTTAGATTAAGCATTTGTTTTCAGTCCTAAATATTACCTCATCTTCATCAAGTTCTATTGTACATCAGAGAAGGTTTTGTGCCCAACTCTACCTTATTATAGGCTCAAGACTAATCAATACCTGCTCAGTTATAATGTGAACAGCTAAAAAGTTACACTTAAGTACACCTGAAAGAGGTACATTTAGTAAGAATCTCCACATTATGAGAGGGCTTCAGTGACTTTTATTAAAAAGACCACAACAATCCCCAAAAACATACATCTATAGAGCAACTTGACGTTTCAGAGGGGAAACCTCATACTACATCAGATTTCAGATAGGATATAGAACATATGTATTGATCCTATAAGCTTTGGAGGCAAAAATCAAGTGTCTCAACCTGGTGAGATTAATCTCGGGTTTCTTCCAATGTTTAGTAAATTCCACCTGCTACCAATAGAGCTCAGTTCATTATTCTCAAATTTTCTCATCTGTAGAGCCATGAAGCTCCACACTGAAACATTTTAAAAATGTTTTTATTTTTACTTCTATTTCATCTTGGACTATTTCTAGAAAATAGGACACACACACAAAAGACAAGACAGAGCCACGGGATAAGAGGTAACCTTTTATCTATATGATTTCTGAATATCAGCATTTTAAGGCCTGTCCGAATGTACAAAATAGGTTATTTTGTCCAAATCATATAGAGAAGTAAAAGGTATGCTATCAAACTTACTGTGATATTATTACTGTTGTCTGCAGTGCTAAATGGATCACAGCCAGCAGTCACGAAAGGATCAGTGGAGGATTGTTTGAAAAAACAGTCAGCTGCAAAAGGATCTGAGCCTTTGAAGGGATCACCACCAAAAGGATCTGAAAAGTAAACATCTCATTAACATTTCTGGTAGCTTTACTTAGCTTGATAGCTTAAAAACTAAACACGATATTGCTTTTCTCATACTGCAAGAAGGTAACACTTATTTAAGACAAAGGATCTTTGAAGTATGAAATTAATCTGTGACTAATTTGTATTCTGTGATTCAAAACATTAGAAAAGCCAACATTTTCTGCACATCATGAAAACTTTGGATGGTGCCAGTAGTTCAGTTCCAGAATCATCTGAGCATACAGGTTCTTTAACCAAGCCTCCTGAAAAATGAAGCATTTTACAAAACCTAATGTTTTTCAGAACTCTTTCACCCTTCTCTCCTTCACTCCCCAAACACCATTAACGTTTTCGTATTTAGCACTTGGTGCACAATGCTATTTTGCTATAGCCTTTCTACTGGCCATTTTGCTTTTTTGTCACCAGTAACTCCATTCAGGACACCAAGCAAATAACACAATGGTGTTGCCTATACAGCCAGTCTAAATAAAGACTTCCCACCTTTGTCAACATTTAGTGCTAAAGAAAGTTGCTAAGTTGAAAGCTTCTAAAAGAGTACAGTCTTACTACTTTGCATATAAAACAAGCAGCAAGAGTGTGGGGCCTTCTGTTCACCACTTTCACATACTTAAATCCCAGCTAAGGAGACATCCAACAGCAAGAGAGAAGTTTACTAACAATGGGCTTCTCTGAAAAGCTTTAACACAACTGGCCAGCTGCTGCTGCTGCTATATATCCATCCTACAGTGACTTTTTGGGTCACTTCCACCTTTTTTGTGCTGAAGGTGGTGGTGACACTTTTCCCCAGGATTTGTTTAGAAAAACAAACACATTAAAAGTTACAAACTTACTTACCAATTTTCCCAAAAGGGTCATCTTTGAAGGGATCACCTGTTTAAAAAAAAGTGACTTGTAGCTTTTTATCACAAAGCAGGTATTGAGTAGAAGTCTTTTGCATACAAACTCGTTTCTACAGCTAGAATTTAAGCAACTCTCACTCAGAGGAATAGTTTCACTGTTTTCAGTGGAACTACAAGAGTTAGTATTAGATGAAGCAAATATTCATCACGTAGCTCACTACCAGCATGAAACACACACAAAAGCTGCCATCTCAGATGCATTTCTTTTGGCTACTGTCAGTAAACACCCACATTATGCAGTATTTACTACCATGGCAATCCAGGCTAACTACTGATAGAAGCTCAGTCCCACTTTTGATAATTCTGACAGGTGTCACAGGTGGTAGCTCCTAAGTGTCCATTTCTGTACTAGATGCGTGGTCTCAATTGCATCAGTTCCACTCCCTCATGTACATCAGAGAGACACAGATATACTGTCTCTTAGCTGTAGGTATCTAGCCCTGAACTTACTGAGCACACAAAGCCCAAAAGTTTGGCTAGTAAGAGACATACCTTTCTCCTCTGAAAGAAAGGCTGCGTCATGTGCTTTAAGTAGAATCACTTCAACATAAATAAAAATCAAGCTATATCTACACCGAAACATTCAAGATGTTTTAAATTAGTATAATTCATTCATTGGAAGTATTAAATCTGCACTGACATTCTTTCAGAAGCCAAGTGATGTGAAACATTTAGCTTATTTTCCTTTTCAAGCAATATGAGCTAAATTGATTAGACCACATTGACTCTGAAAGCATGTAAAATCATATTAATGTGGCTGAAAACAGCTGCTGCAGCAGTTAATCCAAATTAACTCCCCTTCTCCAAGTGGCTCCATACAGACAGATCACTTCTTCCAACATAGAAGAATAAAATCAGAGCAACAGCATTCGTAAGTGGCAAGTTCTTAAAATAAAGCATAGCACTTCCACAAGACGAACAGATGGTGCAGTTCCACATTACCTTTTCCTGAGTGCCAAACTCACCATAAGTAGGCCACAGCCATTCATTCTCAACCACCCACACCCTCCCCACACCACAGCTCACTGAACCCTCAGTTGATCTGTTTGTGGATCTGTGCTGCAAATTAGGGGGGGTGGGAGGTAAGAGAGGTAATCAGGAAGAGTGGCGAGGGAAAGATGCAGTTTTCACAGCTAATTAGAAAGTCCAGATGAAGGAAGGAGAAACATCCTGGAACTCTCATTTCTATTTTTGTAATGCTACTGGCTCCACACTCCTGTCACTCAAACACCTCCAACATTTATTCTATAAAGAGCAGTTCCAAGGTGAAGATTAGTCTGAGATGTGTTCATACAAGACCTGTTTCTGCAAATCTGCACTTAGAAAAGTTTACTTACTGCCAACAAAAGGGTCAGACTGGAAGAACTCTAAGCTGGCTTCAGAAACTAGATCAGGCAATGGATGAGATTCAGTGAATGGATCTTCCTGGACAATGCAAAAGAAGCAGAGAAAGGTATTCAATTTTTAAGACATGCAGGACAGAAAACATTTCTGTCATCTTGTGTTACCATTTAGCAGTTTCTTAAAGATGATGATGATGATAATAATAATAATAATAGCTAGAATTCTACATAATTCATCAATGGAGATCAAAATATTTCTCAAAAAAACCCTGCCTGCTATACTAGATGAAATGTTTTCATGACATCACACTCTAAATAAAAACAGTAAGAGATGACAATTTTATTTCTGTTTTTCTATGACCATGATGCAAGTGACAGGATGCAAGCCTGAAACAGTTTAACCAGGATTTAATTTACTTTTTCCTCCCCCAAATCTGAACAAACTCACTTTTTTGGTAATAGTTGCAGCTGGGGTCTCTTTCTCTTCTTCCACAAGAGAGGCTGTTGTTTCAGGACTGTTCCTTATCTACACGTAAGGATAAATGCAATTCACCATAAATAAGTAAATAGAAGACTACAGAATATAATTTTAAGTATTAGATAGCTAAAAGAATATACTAAAGGATACTTCAAGAGGTTCATGCTTATTACAGAACATACTGAAGTGTTCCATAAACCCTGTGAAAGTTTAAAAAAAATCAAGAATCTACTGGGACATAAGGAGGGACATTTAAAGCAAGACAGCTTTAGATTTTCTGTACTATTCCTTACTCCATTCTTGTTGCACCAACTGGAGACAGCTGCTCTCCTTTAATGTTAATTCTACTTTTCAATTTATGATATTTTGCTTTGGAAACAAATACAGAAAGATTTTTATTGCCACTTTCCAGCCAAGCTAAAATTGCCTCCTTTTCTGCTTATCAACTTTCAGATTGCTGAAACACAGTCCCTCAGAATAACACCCTGAAATTTCACTTGTGCAAGTGTTTAAAAACATAATCAATCTTGATACATTCTTAACTTATTCCAACTTCACAGCTGCATTACATCATGATCAAGCAGGCAAAACACTACTCACTGGAGACACACTGTTTATCTGTTCATCTTCTGCTATACTTTCCCTTTCAGCATTCTCATTAAGGTTAGCAGTTTCACTGCTGCTGTTGCTAAGACTAGAATGATCCGCAGTTCCATTAACAAGTGTATTATGTGGCTGACAGTGCCCACTAAATTGGCTATTTTCCAATTCTTTCAGCTCAAGAAGTTTTGTCTGCACCTGTAAACAGAAGTAAATGTATATGCATCAGCATGGCAGTAGACAGAAGCTAGTACATGATCATCCCCTCTTAAATATAGGATGGAAGTTATATGTCTGAAATTCTTATTTTCAAAAGCAAATGTTATAAAACTCATGTTCTTTCAATCAAAGGGTGAAATTTGAGAGATAAGCACAAATCTGATTTAGAAGAGATGTAATGTAGTTGAAGGACAGACCTGAGAACATTCTCCTGCAAAGAAAGCAGACTGCATAACTGGCAACATTGAGACTTGTTGCTTTGTTTCTACTCAAACTCATAAGAAGAGATGCAGTTTTCAGGTTTTGGTTTTTTTTTGTTTGTTTGGTTGGTTTTGTTTGTGGTTTTTTTGTTGTTATTATTGGTTGCTTTTTTTTAATTATGCATTTGCAATTGCCTTAAACTCTAAATTAAAAAGGCTGCTTTATCAGAATTCTCATCTTCCAGGAAGATTCATTATCTTCTCCCACATGACTTTTGAAGTCTACAAAATCCACAGTATATCTTCCTAAGCAGACAGTTACACCCAACATGTTATTATTTCAGCAATATGCTTAATGCAGTGCCTCAGAGCAAACATTTACAACCGACCTGCCAGTTATGACTGAATTCTTGGATTTGGCAGATTATGCAAAAGGATGAACATAGTTCAGATATTTAGGTGTCTAAATTGCACTGATTTCTGCTAGGTCAGTCACCTAATAGAGTTTTCATTGCCTTGCACATGTCACAAGGCATGTGGCAGCGAAGGCAACACCAGGTGTCTTTCAAATACACTGACCTCAGACCAACCATTAGATAACCTTGCATAAAGCACCTATTGTTCACTATTTGTGAGCCAAGAGCAATAAAATCAGGAGTACTAATATAAAACCTATAAAAAAGCCCATTTGTAGTACAGTCAAGCATAACCACTTTTATTATCAGCCTCAAATCTGTTCATCACAGGTACCTCTTGCTAGTGTAGTAATATTGAAATAGCACAAGCTTCTCTCTACCTGTGATGAAACAATGGAAAATCCATTTGTTTACTACTTTGTTTCTAAACCTCAAAGCCAAATTTAAAAGTTACGAATACATTATAAGGCTCTTCAAGAGAAGAAAGTGTTCTTGCATGAACACTAGCAGTGGAAGTCTTAAAAAAAAAAAATTGTTAACAAGCTATAGACATGAATTGTGTGAAATTACCAACCCCTAAAGCAGCCATTTCTAGGGTTTGAAGCTAATAGGAAGGCTTTTTGCTTTGTTTTTAACTTGATAATGATGTTGCTCTGGCTAATGTATTAGACGGCTGGCAAGTCAGAGAAGAACAACGATGAGGAAAGGGTGTGCAAGCAAGCCCATCACTGAATAATTAATAAATCAGTGAGTACGAATAGGAGATAGAAGTGTTCCTTTAACATAACAGCAGACACCTCAAAGTACAGTTCTGTGCTTAAAAACCAGTGCAGCCATGTCTCTGCTTCTCAATCCAACTTATTCTTACACTCACCTCACTTTCCCCCTTTAACAATGCACTAAGTAAATGTTAGTCATTTTATACAGACTTCACATCGATTAAAGAATAGTGAGAGCATGCCCCAGGCCACAGCTGAGGAAGAAAGCTCAAATAACTACTGGACATATAGAATTTAAACATGCATTATCCATTTTTCATTTGTTATATAAGACAAATTATTTATGAAATATAATAAATTAATCCCTTTTTATTAACAAAACTTGGAGAAAAGTCATGAAGTACCTTGAGTGACTTGAGTCAGCCTCTAAGAATCCTAACAACTACTAGCACAGAACACGTTCATAAGCAACTAAAGACAGGAGCAAACAATGAAGAAAACACCTTCCCCTTAAGAAAAAAAAAAACACATTAAAGGTTGTCAGCTAAAAAAAAATTTTTTTTTTTTTTTGGTCTTTCACACTGCCTTACTGAATTGATTTCCTGTTGTGAATCCTGCAGATGTTGCTGAAGAGGTCCCAGCTGTGCTTTCCCAGACTCTATGCAATGCTCAAGCTCTGCAGTTTCTTGCTGCAGGCGACTCAGCTCCTCTTGAGCTTTGGACAGTTCATCTTCATATGCTGAAATCTTTGATTCCTGACTTGTTATTTCAGCCTTCAGCATGGCAATCTAGAGCATGAACAAATATTTCAAAGTCAAATCAAAAAAACCCACTTCCAAACACATCCAAATACTCTGCATTTATGACCAGAAAAGGTAAAAACCTCATAGCTATTGCAGAGATTATAGATCATACTTGAATGAAAGGTTAATTCCCTATTGGTCTCAATAAGGTCATAGTATTCTAGCTGTTTCTAATACTGAAATATCGTTTTAGATGTTAAAGAAATACTACAGCTTTATGAAATATCTACATAACCATGATTTTTTTTAACTACTAAGAAATCAGTCCCAGTAATTAGTGCTTCTAATTACACTTATATTGAATTAGAATTTTGTATTACTTGTTTGCACTTAACCTCATTTGTATATCTCAGTATATTTGTTGACACACTGATACTAAATCAAGAGGTCACTGAAATGAGTGCCATATTTCCTATTCTGTTGGTCACAAAATCTGGACACTCAGACTGTTTATTCATTAAAGTTTTTTCTCCTACCCCAACAACTGTAACACTGCAAGGCTGAGTTCTTTCAAAGGCCTTAGCCACTAGACCTTACCAAATGGGCCTCCTCTGCACACTTCTGCCTGATGTCATTAAGTTGCTCTTCCAACTTGGCCTTCTGCTCATCAAGATCATTAAGGATTTCCTGCGCTTCCTGTTTCTGAGCTTGCAGCTTTTGCAGATTACTGCTCTCCCGCTTTACTTCATCTTGTAGATCCTGTAGTAAAACAGATTAGCTTTGCATTTGTTCCCTCTCTCCTCCTAACCACTAAATTCTGCAGTATAAACTAACTCAGATTTCAAAGTATCAACAAATTACCTTTCAAAAGCTAGTATTTATATCAGACAAGCAAGTATTCTCAAATTCTAATTTTAAGACATAAAAATAGTTAGATGATTTGCTCTTTCTTTCCTTTTCTTTAGTAAGAAGAATCTCACTGAAATATTGAAGACCGTGTATCAACACAAAGATTAACTGTTTTACATGGAGTTTAGGGTTTCATTTTGAATTTAGAAGTTGTCTGTATTCAGGCTGCTACATTGTCTCTGTCCTATGTTTTAGCAATATGTTTTGCTGAGTTCCTTAATAAAAAAGATTCTTTATTCTGCTCCTTCCCGCTTCAAAAACACATGACCAAAATTAGGAACTTGCTTTAGCAACCTGGTAAAGAACCAAACCAGTGCACTCCTTCTAGACCCTCCCTGTCTCCAATTTTCCAAAAAACAGCCAAAAACTTACTTTCCATGTAACGGTACTGTTCAAGAAATGCACATTCCATACACAACAATATGGCATCTTTTAATTTATGAACAGCAGCAAGTATGAACCTTGTGTTCTGAGTACATTAAGTATGATAATCAGTTCATTTCTGAGCAATAGGAAAGGTTATATTTCAACAAACTGCAGAGATAACATTAAAAAAAAAGTCAAAAGAATTTAGGACGAAGAAAAAATCAAAGTCAAAAGGAAGAGATAATACAGGGAGATAAAAAAGGATTAATACAAAAGGGAGAGTATTAGATGAAAAGAGAAGATTGCAGCCTCTCAGATAAAAATGGTAATTGAAGGAAGAATCATGAACAACAGTAAAAAATGAATAGATATAGAAGAAAATTAAAGAGGAAAAGAAAACAAGCTGATGTGAATTTCTGATTAGATCATACATTCATGCACTACTCTAAGCTAAAATCCTGTTGTCCTTTTTAGAGGCATTTTGTTAGGGGGTTTTTTTTGGTGAGGGAGATAGTTCATCCATGTGTGCTAACACCTCCAGATGATCAGGACAGAAAAGCCAGACAGAAATAGAAAGGCATATGGTACAGCAGTCATATGCTAGGGAAATAGGTAACCTCAAGACAACTGGAACACTACCTAAAGAAACAACATAGATGCTTTTTTTGGGTGGGGACCCCAAACAAAACAACACACAAAACACCAAAAAAACCACACGAACCCCCCAACATCAAATTTGAAGTTCAGTAAAGGGTATAAGACTGATGTGCATCAGTCAGACTAGGTGAATTACTGGTTATTTCTAATCTATTAAAGACAAACCAGCGTGCACACAAAAAGCTCTTGCAGCATCTACTGACTTGGATAATTGGGACACTCTTGATCCATTCATTTTTTACAACGCTTTGAAAAGAAAGCATCAGCTGACACAAGCAAGGGGGGAAAAAAGTAACGGCTTAAAGAGATTTCAGTCTCCTTTCTCCAAAAGGAAGCAAGAATTCACATACACACAATACAGATCACCTCCACTCTCACTACTGTTCCTTGAATCCCAATGTCTGTCCTAGACATGGCAGTAGAGAAGCACTGAAGAGACCTGACTAAGCCTGATGGCTCCCAAAAGAACGAAAAAACCCTACAGACAAAACCAAAACCCAAACATGTTCACATAACCACTCCAAAATTAAAGGCTGGAGTAGATACAATACACAGAACTGGGGGTAATACTCAAAGATACATCTTCATGAAGTTAATCAATTAAGCTTCGATTTCAAAGAACACCCTCAGTGGCAAAGCAGCATCTTAATGTTCAAGCAATGAATGCAATTCTATATGAAAACCATTAACATATCTGAGGTGGCACAAAATAGAACTTTCATGGTAATTGTAATCCTTGTATTAGGTTTACAATCATTATAACTCTCCATGCTAATGTAGTGTAGGACAAGGAAAATCTAGAGATCTGTATTTTCACAGATAGACAACAGATTTAATAGCTTGCCAGTCTGTACTTCACCAAGGATTCATGTGCTCAGAACCATTAAGCCTAAAACAGCAGAGAAAAGTTAAACTTCACTGACTTTCTAATGGCTTTGGTGCACTGCAACAAACCAAGAACAGTAAAAATACAATGCTGGAAAATACAATGAGTGAGATACTCAGAGCATAAATGTGTTTAAGAAAACCCAGGCCAACAAGGAGACCAACAGGCTAGAAGAGAAGGCCAGAAACATTCTGGACTACTCGGAAGGCCACAGTCCCAAAATACCTATCCTCTGCCCTCTTCTCTGAAGCAGTGTCTCACATGCAGTTACATTTTTTTCCCCGATCGATGCAAACATATATTATGCTGTGTTCAGAAGTTACATGCGTTTGTTCTAAAAATTTCTTTAGAAAGTTTCAGTGCCCCACTGAAAAGCAAAACATAGACCTTTTTACTTCATGTCAATAAAATTCTATGGAACATGCGGTAACTGTCAGGAAAGTCAGGAGAATCGCTGCTTATTTCAGAGTCTTAGCAAGTAGACTGATAAACCGTGCCTATACATGTGAAATGCTAGACGGAAGATGAGTCTCGGGAGTGTGCCCAAAAGCCCATTGCTTGAGGCAGTGTCTAGCTGCTGAGGCACACTGTCCTTCAACATCTGTGTCTAGAAGAGCAGGCTGGTGATGATGGAGCAAGAGTACAGCCAGGTAAAGGCACTTTCAGATGCCACATGGTATGTGGTGAAAAAACTAATATTTTAGTTACACATTAACAAAGTTCTCTACTGCCAAGAACAACATTTCATATATGAGTTTATTACTCCCATTTTTATAGGAAAATGCTAATCCAGTCACAGAATAAGTTAAGGAAATGGTGCCTTAGAAGTCTCTTGATCTTTGTTGCTCTGTCCATAACTTTTCAAGAAAAAACACCCCCTAATCTTTGCTAATAAAGAGCTGTACGCCATGTTTTCCCTCCAACTCTTTTTATGTCTTTGCTATTTATATAGTATATAAATTATTTTATAAAAGAAAAAATGTCATTCTTTCCCTCCTCTCACACAAATCAGTCCGACCCATCACAGGCCATGGTTATGTTTAAGATTATAATTTGTGTCCATGGAAGTAATTGTGGTATCGGAAACCCTGGAGTGTGATGCCATGAAACTAGCTTGATCCAAATTGGCAGATTAGAACACCCTGGTTTTGTACACCACCTTTAGCAATATCACCATTAGAATAAAACCAGAAGACAAAAAGCATGATGTAAAGATATTCTTAGTGTGTCACCACCATTCTCTCAAGTTCCAGAAAGTTTCCTGAGACACGCAGGTCCTCCAACATTCAGGAGCAAGAGAGAGACCAGAGATAAATGGCCACCAGCTTAAATAAATGCTCCTGCCATATCCTGTTTGATCCTGATGGTTTCTCATTTTTCTGACAAGCCAGTAATAGACTGTTCCTCCTCTGCAGACTGACAGAGCTCTGCAACTATATTTAACAAGGGACAAATAGCTTCTGTGATCACTACGAGGTTAAGGACCTGAGACAGTTGCTTCCAACATTACTGCTCTAGATACAAGGACTTAATCTATTCTGTGATGCCGTTGACCATCAAACTCTAAACATATGCAGATGACACTAATACCGTAACATTAAAGGTAAGGTTTTTATTTAGCTTTATATGCCTTTTGTGCAAAGGCACCAGAGAACTCAACCTTCACATGAACACACACAGATTCCAGAACACACAACAACAAAATCATCCTATGTGCAAAACCAGGCAATCTGCAGAGTGGGGAAGGGAATGACTGCTGCATGCATGGACAGAAGCACAGACACAGGCAACATCTGTGCTGCTGAATCTGGCTGCCATTGTGACTAACAGGCCAGCATCTGATTATCTTCTGAAAGGTCAGACTATTAATTATCAACCAGGCTTTAAGGATATTAAATGGCCAAGCAGAAAATTCACAACGGTTGTAACATACTGGCTCTTTTTCTGCCCAACACAAAGTAAAATGCAGAAATCTTGCATTATTTTTCTTAATCAAATAAAGATTATTTAAAATAATAAATACTCATAAAATAAATGTAAGTGATCAGATATCACACTGAAGTTTTTTCTTAAAACAGCAACTCCAGCTGCTTTTGCAGCTTAAAATTCAATTGAAATACTGCTTTGCAGCATTTAATTCAGGGCTTGGCTAGACTGTTAGCACCCTCAACACTGATGCTGACCGAATAATTTTTAATCCCTGTAAAACACTTGCAAAATTTAATTTGTCCAATACTCTGGAAATTCAATGTCATCCTTTTAAATAAAAATCAAACAGATTATTTTTAAAATTTACTTATGTTAGGCAAAATTAGCTTGAGGCAACATTCCTCCCAAGCTGGTAATTACTGCGTCTCTTAAGAAGCAGCCCCATATACAAGCCCTTTTAACTCAGCCACTTAAGTTCATTAATTTGCAGTGCTACAGTCTTCTTTAGTTTCCATTATACATTAGATAGCCTTGCTAAAAAAAACAAAATAAAAAGAAAAAAGATAAAGAAGAAATCTATTCTTTTTTAATATTTTTAATTTAAAACTCCGTGTAGGCTATATGTCCTAGGAGCTCGCACATTTATATAAATATACACACCTACACCAACCCACATTCATATAGAAAATACATTTCAAAGTACAGTCTCTTTCTTAGCCACCAATTTTTTTTTTCTTTTCACTGAATAAAGTGATGTGATCTAAAGACTCAGTAATTCCACTGCCATTAAAGCACGACATGATGCAGTATCAGGTGTCCGAACAATAATTTTGTGTCATATATTTACCTGGACCTCACTTGTCCTCTGCTTGATGGTATCTTCTTTCTCCTTCAGGTCTTGCTCTACATTATTCTTTTCCCTAGAAGACCAGCAAACAATGCAAGAATACTTAAGAACATCAGCTACAGCAGGTACAGTTATCCAGCCCCCTAAGCCTGTATCTCTCTTTAAATACATAGTGAAACATTAAACACAAAAGATGTAAGGGATTTCTGCTTTCCAAATTATTTACGAGACAGAAGCCCACATAAGTGTTCTGCATAAAAACCCCCGTCTTTTCACCCAACTGCACTTCAGTGATAAGAATGGCTCAAAAATGGAAGGGGGCGGGAGGGAGAAATCAATGAAATACTGTCTCCAGTGATCTCACTGTTGCTATGGAGCACTTGTCTAATGAAAACTGCTGGGAAAAGTGGGAGGGATTGCATCAGATTCCATCTGTTAACCCCTGCAAACACAGTAATTCCTATGCTAACACCAGCTAGAAAACATTTCCAGCAGGCCAATCTAGCTGATTAATGAAGTTTGCCTATCAGATCTCAACTATATCTGTTGGTAAGCTCAGTCAGAAGAAGAAAGGTTAGTTTGCTGTAATCGCTATCTGCTCAGAGACTCCATATGTAGTTATTTGCTGTGTCACATCAAGTCTGTCTCTACAGACATTTATTCAAGTTTAAAATTGACTACCGATGACAGGGGAATTATCATCAATAAATTCTTGGCAGCCAGACATAACAATGGCTTTAAGAAAGGGAAAAAGCAACATACAGCTCAGAACTACTACTGTTTTAAAAAAAACGTAAGAGTGTTCATCTCTAGACAGTATATGGATTTTTTTTTCTCCTTTCACAGATGCAGAAAAGCACTAAGCTTTGCAGTTTTAACACTATCTCCTGTATACAGGCATTTACTTTCACAAATATCTTGTTAATAAATTAGCGCACACGTTAAGTTACATTGTGAACAATGATAAACCTAACATTTCTACATGAAATACCATAGTGAAAAGCTATCAAATTATACTACTAGTACATACTGAAATTAAGGTAACTTCATATTTCAATAGCAGATTAGTAATCAATATAAACTATTAATCTCATTGTTTACTCCTATCTAATACCGAAGAAAGCATTTCTGTCTCTAAAGTAAAGCAGGTCTACTCTAAGTTCTCTCAAGCTGAGGAATTCTTCTTTACTGCTAAACCATATACAATGGAAACTAAAAAAAAAACCCCAGATGTCACAGATCTTAAATGAACATTTGCTCTGAAAAATAATTAGTATAGCTTATGTTCTGCTATTATTTATCTCAGTATCCAATTAAAGAGCAACTTGCGGATTGTGCCTGAAGGAAAGGCTTAAACGGAAGGAAAAGGAAAGATGTCGAAAGAGGGACTCTGAAGAACAAGGGTAGTTATTTTTCTTAAGTGTGAACCTTCAAGGTTCCATAAAATTCCTCACTCTCCATTCATCAGAAAAAAGTATCACGGAAATTCTAAGCAAATCTCTACCATTTCCATCAACGCTATAGCACACTCCTCTAGCTCAATAAACTACTATTTGTAGCATAGTTGTACTTAGACATTTAAAGCATCGCAACACACGGTTGAAACCAGTTCTGCTGATTTTGCTTTCCGTAACTTTCCATGAACAAAGGGTCTCAATCTCAATAAAGCACTTCCACAGATCTAAATACCAGTCAGGCTGAAAAATACCTTCAAGCCCTCAGACACACATCAAGCACAGCAAACATTCAGGCATATTATTCCTGATTGAAGATAAAAGAGAATAATTGACTAGGTAAACAAATACTTGTTATTTTTCCTGCTCAGGTATGAAAACTGAGCAGGAGAGAGAAATGCAAGCAGGTATGTATGCCTTTCCACATTACTGTCACTGATATGCCTAAGAGACTGTCAGAGATGATGATCGCTTCCCTTTAATTTCAACAGAAGCCAGGTGCCTAAACCTTGCTTGCTTAGCATAGCCCAGATTGCAACAGGATACAACACCCACCCACAGGCAGCTTACACTGGCTAAATCACAACACAAACAATGAATTGGAAAAAATCAAGTGAAAGAAGTATTGTCAGGCAGAACAAGAAAAGCTTAGGCAGCAGTCTCAGGCAAAGGAAAACAAGCTGAGTGTAGTCTACACATAACACATCCCCTCCTCCCCCCAAGTAATGTGTCTTTGTTTCAAAAAAAAAAAAAAAAGACAACACAGACCTACTTAATTCACTAATTCTTCTGAATGCCTCCATTTCTTTTACAAACTATCTGGTATGCCCCTGTAGGAATGCTCAGCAACTGAAAGAACCAAAAACAAGTAACAAAATTGATTTACTTGATACGACAAATTTTCTGGATCATATAGTCCGTTACCACACCAGCACTTGGAAAAAAAAACAAAACCAAAAAAACAACCCACCCAAAACCAACTGTGGTCTTGCCAATAAAGGACACTTGTAACCACTGATTCAAGTCAATTTATGAAAGCAATACAATTTCCCTATATATTTTAATAGTAGTCAGGTCAGGAGAACCTCATATCAAAGAAATTAAAAGCAATGATTAAAAAACCCCAAAACTAACAGATGGTTTCTCCAACGCAGATAGTAAGATTATTTGATTGTAAATCATGAAGTAAATCCATAAGTTTTATACTAATTTGTCAATGGAGTAATTTAAAAATGGGAGCCAGCATATTGCAAATATTTGTGATAGCTGACTACTGAGGGGCTAAATATGAAACAACCCTGGCCAGGCTTCCTGATGGCCAACACTTAGAACTACCTTAGTTACAAAGCCAAAAAAAAAAAAAAGAAAAAGAAAAAGAAAAATCACAGTTCTTTTCTATAATAAGTGACAAATGACTACACACAGAGCTGGTAGCATTATCTACACTCACAGTTGCCCAACGTTTCTTTTTTTCACATACGTTTGTAATTTTGGGAATTCCTAGTGTAGTAGTACTTCAGTTTGGCAATGCTAGAAAAAATGTCTAGGGTTTGCCTAGTTTCTTCTCCCCTTTGTTCTTCCCAACCTTTTCAGCTGCAACATATCGATTACTTCCAAGCCAGAGGTTAGAAGAAATAAACTAGCCTGCATTAAAATTTTTACCATTATTTTGCCGAGAAGCTGTACATCTCTGAACTTTGAAACAAAGGCTTGATGCAAGTATATAGCAGGGAGAGGTTGCCCTGTTTTTCTGCAGACATTCTGCTGTTTCCTTACTTTTGACAGACCAATTTACCAGCTTTATGGTCCTTTTAGCCTAGTTCATATTCAAGACAATATAACTGTTGCTGTCCAATGTGTGTGAAGGATGGCACCTCTGGTGAGATATACTAAGTTAAGCTCAGCTACTTAACACACTTAGAGAGAAGGTAGTATTGGTAAAGCTTGAAGAAATTCACAGAATCACAGAATGATTTGAGTCAGAAGGAACCCATAAAGATCATCTAGTCCATCCCCTCTGCCCTGGGCAGGGACATCTTTCACAATTCCACTAATCTGTGGGCTGTAGCTAGCTTTGAATGCATGAAAGCAAAGCAGGGTTTGCTGGGGGAGAAAAAGGTTTTATGGCTCAAAAAAGAATATTAAGAACATCTGGTCTGGCCTCCCACAATGCTGATCAAAAAAAGCTTCAAATAGCTTTCTAAAAATAAAGTGCAACTGAAACAGAACTTACAGGCAGCAGTGTCGACATGCTCATCATGCAGATTCCACAACGTCCCTAGGCAAATCATTCCCCCTACCAGAGGGGAATTATCCTCCCTAATAAGTGTTCTGCATTTTATTCTTCATCTGATCCTCAACCTCCACCTTTCTGACACTGTTTTTATTGAATTAGATTAAAAAGCTATTGGCTACCAGAAATCTTTCCCACACAAACTGCTGAGCCACAAATACATTACCTTTGTATTCTTTGCTCAGTTTCCCAAAAGCTGTATTTTCCAGACACTGTCATTCTTTTGAGGCACTTCCTCTGCTGCCTTTTTTTTTTTTTTCCTCAAGTACACTTCAAAAATAGATTCAATTTCTATTACTGGGTCCCAGAAACACAACTCTCACAGATACTTGTCAATGGACTAATGGACTAGAATTATTATATATAGAGTGCAACAGCTGAACAATGTATCGTGTTTAATAATGAACAAAAATAACAAATTTAAATTACATTTTTATACGATAACTATCAAGACTGAAAGTGTACTTCACCAGTTATAACAGAAATGTGGATTTGCCAGAGATGAAAAAAAGTTTCCTACATTTACCACAAAGATTTATCTGTTGCCTAGCATTTCCACCTGTGCTTAAGGAAGGTACAGAAAAGTAACATTTACTCTGCTACCAAAATAACTCTTCTACAGTGGCTAAAGGATTTTCAAGTAATCAAAAAATTAAATTTTCTTGAAAAAAGTTAAAATGAAAAAATTTTATTTGAGCCACAACTCACTTTATGACATTGAAAGTTTGCTAGTCATTCTCAGTGAAACCACACAAACCTCTTACTATTATACTTCGGTTTGATGGTACAGGCTTAAGCCTCTGATTGCTAATCCAGTTTTGTTCTGAACCTCTAAGTCATATGAAAGTAAATTTCCCCTTCCTAAAAATAAAAACATACTAATAGTTGCCTCTACCATATCTTCAACAATCTAGTATCATTCAAATGTGTCTTAAATAATTGTCCAAGTATATTTGCCACTGAAGAAATGGAAGCAATGATTTTCCAAAGGCCATAGTTCCATCATACCTCACCGCACGAAAAGAAAACAAGACATAAAAAGACTGGCTTGCATGTTAGGCTGCAGGCCCACCTACTGAAAACCAACTTCATCTAAAAATTCATGCTAGTGAACAATTTTATTTCTCTCTAAGATACTAACAGCAAATATACATGGTTGTAAATCATATTTCAGGTTAATAAATGTGAGAGTCCAAAATTGGAATTAATACAACCTAAAGAACAACACAGGAAGGCAGAGCAGGGAGAAGTGAGGAGGCAGTGGGAGTAATAAGAGGGAGAAGAAGCAGCTGAAGTGAAAAAACATTTATGTATTTAGGAAACAGACTGTGCTTTGACACATTGCCATATTAAATCATTCCTGCAAGTGACATGAATAAGACAGGCCGATTTCATCATGACAAAGCACCCTCACTTATAAAATAGTAGAATTAACTGTTATTAATAGAATTTTCAGTAGATTTATGATAGTACCAAGAAAAAAATCACTTTAGAAAAATATCTGTTATGTCTTGAGAATATGATGAACACTATACAACATGTAAGAGCTTGATTTTCTTAGTCACTTGAAGTCATCTTAATTACCTTAGAAATAATTAATGGAACCCAAGGGTCTGCAGATCTCAAATTAAAACAGTTTTTCTCAGTGCAACAGTTTATTTTACTAAACAGAACAGAAGTATGTGCATCTTTACCACCATCAAAACCCTAGCAGAGATCCATATACAAACTGTCATCTTCCCATTCTCTACCCTACATAACTTCTTGATCTTTCCCATGTCACTTCCTTACTGCCACTAGAAAAAAGTCTACAAATCAGAGACAACTAATACCAATTTATATTGTGGTTCCATCATCCTAAAGATCTGCTCCATTCTCATCAGCCAATAAAAATGAACAAAGACAAACATGAGAGAATATGTCTATGTCAGGATGCTAAGACATGCAGCTCTCTGAAACATACCCAGAAGGCATGATGGATAGACCTTTCAGAGTCTTGCTGTTATTAAATGCACTCATCTGACTGAACAAAGAGTAGAAGTGTTAAACAGTATTACAGACATGCTAACCATTTATTTTAGCAAAAGAGACTACCACCTGGCTTTCTCTTATGCACTGAATTGTTGGTTTGTTTTTGTTGGTTTTTTGTTTGTTTTTTTTTGTTTGTTTTTGTTTTTTTTTTTAAACAGTTAGTAGCACAACTGAATCCAAGGCAAATATGACTATTCCTCCTTTACCTACCTCTGCAGGTCCACTATTTCGTTGTTTAATGTATCGAGTTCTTTAATTGCAGAAAAATCTGCTACAGAATTCAGTCCTTGAGTACTCTGAAAGATAAAAAATAAATACTGTTAGTTTATAGTTTATGCTGTCCAAAAATCATATTCACTTTACTTTTTGTGACAGCATGAGCTATCCACTTGTAACAACTGTTGGTAGCATTGTATTTCCAATCTTCAATCTTAAAAAAACCAAAGCAGTCCAGATGCTATATTAACAGTTCACAACATACATCCAATGCATCTAGTAATTCCAACAGAATTTGTCTCCTGTAAACTCTTGAAGACATCTTCCACAAAGGCACAGGACCACCCAATCATACAAAAGAAATCTAGTTCTAAAATTAGATTTATCTTACAGATAACATTTAGCTTGCTTCCTAGCATTCATTTTAAAGTGGTTTGGTTCGTTTACTACTTTTAAATTTACATTTCTTCACCTTGGTTATCTTCTTGTTGCAGAGTACAGACACTTACTTGCGGTGCATTAAGTGATATCAAGCTAGTTTAATGTGAACCTCCAGAGTACTGAATGAAATTTTGATAATAAAAAGTCATAGGTAAGTTATGCCCATGAGTTCCCATTTACTTAACATCTTCATAATAAGACAACTGTAATACAAGTAATTTGTTTCAAAAAAGTACAAGTAAATTACTAGAGACAAATGCCGAAGACACAACTTAGCAAACACTGTAATTGTTCTACTGTGCCTTATCACAACACAAACATGTTTAGGAAGCCATAGTCACTGTAACTACCTTCTATAAATACATCAGTTCCTTCAAGTCTTGAATAAAGTCATCCAGGACAAACAAAAAGTTCAGAGGAAAAATATATACATATAATTAAAAAAGGCAAGTGATACCCCCAAAATAACACAAAAGTCTTTGAATGTTGAAGTTTCTCTAAAGATAAATCAAGATGCCATTAACTACATGTTTATTCAAGCTTATACTCCAGAAAACAAAAATAACAAAAGCCATGAAAAGACCTGAATAGTAAATCTGAGTACACTGTGGCAGAGAATATTATTCAGCAGAACTATAGCTTATTCGTGCATATTTCACTAGAACGAATGGCATGAACTGAGAATAAGAAAACCCATACAGCTATTCTTAAACTGGTTAGTGTACAGCTTCTCAAATGGGCAAAACAGCTATGAAGTTCAATCGTGTTCTAAAGGAACTACATAGGAGTTTTGCGGAGTTGTTCATGGTGTTCCAATGAGAAGTTTTTTACTTCTCCTAGGAAAGGAACAGAAGGAAAACATGGAGCTATTAGCTACAAGTACAAATTCTTTCCAGGCTTCGTCCTCTCATCAGTTAAAGAAGTTCTGCACACTAACGGCAGCATCAAACTTGAACAAAATGTAGTTCATTCTTATTTTCAATTTTTCAGGAGAACCGGTGTGGGGCAGGAACATAAAATATTTTTAGCTTCAATACACAAGTTAAAAAAGACAAAAGTTAGAACTATTTGCTGCCATTTACTACACTGCAACATGTCTGCAAACAACGCTTCAAGTTTTTAATTTGAAATAGTAGTAAAAGTCAATTCCTGTCAAAATTCTTTAAGACGAGTAAGTTTTATGGCTGGTAATGCAAGTGCAATTTGGGGACTACAAACAGTTCTAGGTAAAGAAACACAGCAACAAGTACTAGACTGCTGCTGTGTCCCATTCATGGGATCTGCATTCAGGCCTTAAAATTCAAATAGAAGTTCCACTACTGTGGTAATAAAATTTTGTAAGGAAACCAAGTATTAGATAACAGCAATATACATACATATGCATTCTAAACATCTACCAAGAAGGATCACAAGTTAA